GTGTAACCCTAAACTTTTCATACGAAACATTTTTCTCTATCCCTACTAGTTTTCGAGATATTTGACTGGATCACTTCAGATGGTCCACCCTGTATAGTATATAAAAAATATAAGATATTATCTTGTATCATGATAAACATAAAATTATCACTTTTGAATAACTCTTATTATAGATACAATCAAGGCCATTTAAAGTATTAATACTATTAACAGATGGATATACCGAACACATTATATATATTAAATTTCTATATGATATATAATATTTTCACGAGATATAATATTCTCATCTATTAATATTATTGGATTAATAATATTCTATATATCTATATACATATAGTATCTTTGAATAGTATTTCATTCTCAGTTTAGCACATCATTCTCAGCTTTATACTCGTTCGATAATTTTGTGTTGTTTCGGGCGATCCACGGTGATACACAAACGAGGTGACGCACCTCTAATTTGATTTAACTGATTAACGGATAGATCGGTTAGAACAGATAAACGTAATAAATAGCAGTCGAGTTGTAGTTAAGTAAATATGATGTAATTTAGTTCATTCGGCCTAGTTTAAGAGCAGTGTTCCGTGATGTGATCGTGCAAGAGGACCGGACCGAAGTAGTGAGAATTCGACCAAACGGATCTCGGGAAGGTGCCTTAAGATACCGAGAATCGCCGAGAGATCCCGAACAGTACACGGAAATTTGAACATAATCAAGTCGTTAACGAGAACGATATAACGATGACAAAGCACGAATAATACTTATTATTGTATACTTATCATTATATATACTTATCATTATACTTGTACCTTCATTTTATGATTATAGCGTTTTCTTTCTCTCATACTTTTACAAGGTTCATAAAAACGAAGTACGGATTGGAAAGTGTTTACAAAATCAATTGATCCAACAGCATCAGAGTGATGATTAGTTCCATTGATCAATTCCATTTAACATATCCAGTATCAGTTGTTAAACCTCAAGATTATTACATTATTTATTAAGTGATTTACAATTAAAGTGAAATATACAGGGAATGGAAAGTTACTTTTTAAAAGTAACAAGTTACAGTTACTCGTTACCGAGTAGGAAAAGTAACAAGTTACCGTTACTAGTTACCGATTTTTAAAAGTAA